CCCCCGCGCTGCTAATAAGGAACAGATATGACCAATAACCTCTTTGTGAGGTAAACAGGCTGGGAGTGGTGGCCATCCCTTAATTTGAAAAGTTGTAGATAGATCAGGAGAGACGAATTTTCTCACTTATGAAGGGGCTTCAGATAGGACCATAAAGGTAATCCAGGAAAAGCTTATGCAGTCAACTCCAGTTTACGAATTCAAGTTAGCACACTCCAGCCCCTGCCACTGGCCAGGAGAAAACGCAGCATAGGCACACTGCCTCTCTGCATCCCTGGGAGAACCTCAGGGCAAGGAAGACCAGCTTGGTCCTATTCATCAACCAGATCCTGGAGTCATAGTGCAGCCTTGACTTCTATGCCAAAGCCCCAGACGTTTCTGAGTAGCAAGGACTGAGACATCCTCCATCCCTCCAGTATTTCTGTTCTCTTTGAGCTTAGCTATAATCTTCACAGTTGCTGGGAGAGAAAATGGTTTTTCCACAGTATAGTATTACAAGGAATCATTGCTATAGGCCAAAGTTTATGAAGTAATTAAGTCTTCAATGAGCAATTAAGAAGCATTAGTTTGACAAAACATCTGCTCTTCATTTGTTGATATGGGCAAATCCAGCTATGTGTATCTTTAAACTCTCCTTGTGGTGAATGCTATGGATAGTGTTATGATGAGCACATCCACTTTTAAATTTATCAGATGAAGGGGAAATTCCTTCCATTCTTTCTGCAGAGAAGGAACACCATTCACCTTTTTTCCTGTGTTTCAACTGTATACCTGAGGGCAAGGATTGTGTTATGACTAGTTTTGGCAAGTTGCAGGAGTAAAATTTCTTCTTCTTAACTCATATTTACTGAATAAATAATCAATAAAGGGTTTAGAAAAAGGAAACCTTGAAGAATGTAAAAATATACTGAAATTTCTACCTAACCTTAAAAAGCCATGTCTCAGTAAGTTAGCATAAAGCATAGCCACCTTAGATGTGCCAAGAGGCACTGAACCCACTGAAGAGGGATGCCAACAGAATCCCTCGGGGCCAATGGGGACACAAGAAACCAAAGATACATAAGTTTCAGTGTCTGCTTAGAGAATGGTGACGTTTTGTACATGTGGCAGGAAACAGATCCAGAGTGTATGCAATATAGTGATATTTATCACCTTCCTTAGCAGTAGGTTTTGTAGGCACATACCTGAAAATTATCCATTGCCAGACACCAATTACCGATTCAGGCAAAGCTCAGATCCTACACATTTTTGTTAGGTTAAATTACACACAGGAGAGCTTGTACACAGCAGTTCAAGTGTATTATAAAAAAAACACTCAGATCATGAATGATATTCTACCTTGTGTGTGCCAGCGGTTGAAAATAATATTCACTTAGTCTTGGTAAAACATTTAAAAACATTTACTTATAACTAGGGGGAGGATTTCCATAACATTTCACACTTTTTCTGCCCACAAGCAAGTTTAAACATGTTTATGAATAATCTGGCTTTCTCACCAGATTGCTCATGAACATGTCCAAACCCATTTATAAGTTCAAACATAGGCTGCAGGAAAAAAATGACATGTTCTAGAAATCCTCCCCCTACTTACTACGTATATGTAGAATAAAGTAACAGTGCTTGAAACATTAGGCTTGGTACAGACTTGTGCTTGACAGATTTATAATAGTCTCATATTATCTTCTTAACAGACATAGTAACAGATAAGTAGACGCCCAACAGACAGCTCCTAACATAGTACACAGACTTTCTAATAGACATCTCTAACAGACAACTGAATAACAATTGTCTTGTTTTTTTAATCTATGTGGCAGTTAACCCACTTAACATCTAACAGCTAACATCAGACATAATCTGATTGGTTACATAAATTCTAATACGAAAATTACACAACAAACATTCTTTTATACAAATGCATACACGCTGGGTTGCACACTCATAAATTCCAACATTGCACAACAAAGCTAGACAGTTTGTGCCAACATATAGAGGCAAGAGAAGCTCATGTTATGGTGAACAGGCATTTATTTTCCTCTTAAGGAAACTCTGCTTCTAGTAACATACCAACTGTCTGATTTAGTTTGACCATTTGACATAAGTATGTTAAAGGAAACAAAGAATCCTTCTCTTTGAGATACTTATGTCACAAGCACTCATCTGGCAATGTATTCGCGAAGGCTTTCATGGCCAGGATCTAATGGTTGTTGTGGGTTTTTCGGGTTCTTTGGCCGTGTTCTGACGATGCCGGCCACAGAGACTGGCAAAACGTTAGGAAGAACAACCTTCAGAACACGGCCAAAGAACCCGAAAAACCCACAACTACTCATCTGGCAACTGAAATCAGAATGAAGTACATAATATGTTATGTTGTTTTTGACCAGGTCTACCCAACAAGGCAAATGCAGCCCATTCGTCCTTCTTCCCTTTCCTCTCAACATTTGATGATGGTGAGGCACACAAAGGCAGAGGCAGCGCAGTCATGGATTTGTTTAAAAAATCCCTGTCCTATCTATGGTAGAGGCTGAGGAGGATCAAGCAGCTTTAAGAAGATATTACGAAACATTGTAAACCAGATTTACAAATATCCAGAGCATTGCATGGCTGAGGTTATTAGCGTACAGCATTTAATAATGCTGATGTGAGTGGATACTGTTATATTACATTTTTGAATAGTTATACACACTCATGCAGAACGTATATCCAGTTATTCCTATATTAACTTATTGACCAGATAAAGCAAACAAAAGGCAAGAAGCCAGAGGGCAATGACAGATTGCCTTAAATGACAAAAAAGTGATCTAGGAAGACACTGCAAAGTGATAGTGACCTGCCACTCAGCATCATGTCAGCTTAATGAGCTCTAAATGCTAAACTCTTCCATCATTACAACCCCCTTTTAAAGCAGCAATGATTGTGCTGACACATGTCTATGTATTAATATTCTATTTACTCTCCCACCCTCCGCCCATGTTTTCAAAGGCCAGACTTGATTAGGATATTTTTAACAAGGAAATCACCTTTCTCTTTGTAACAGCTTTTATTTCTATACAGATAATGTCTACTTAAAATCTAGCTATATGATATGTTTTCCTCATTTGTTATGTTACATGAAAGTTTGGGGACAGTAAATGTAACACAAGCATGCACACACAGAGCTATGTGATGGAATGATGGACTTCCAGGTTGTCCTGGATTCAACTCTTTATTCAGTCATGAAGTCAAGTCTTCTCTTGTCTCGCACAGTTCACTGGCCCACTGGCATCTGATATTTGCCTTAGATCTGCAAGTTGTCAAACAGACTTCATTCTAGAAGTCCAAAAGCATGACATGGGACCACTAGCCATCTTCCACTGTAGTCCTCCACCAAAAGTTCTTCAGAATCAACCTCTGATCATGGAGGCAACTTACAGCCATCATTCATGATTAGTAGCCACCGATAGTTTTATCTTCATGATTTTCCCTTCTAAAATTGTCTGATTATAGGTCATTACCCTATCATCAACTTATCTGTCATAGGTTAGGCACATGCTGCCCAGAATCCTATTAGTTACATTCTCCACAATAACTCCACTAATATAAATTTCAGCTGCGACTTGCCAAAATTTAAGCAGTCAACACAGCTATCTGTTATGACTCTCCAGTCACACAACATAGATTATGACAGCAAATGCCTGTTCCTTGCCTCTGGCAATCTGTGGCTGAAATTTGTGCCAAAAAACTTACACTGGCATAATTTTTCAACTAGATTTGGGCTGCTGAGAGTACAAA